GTTCTAAAATATAATTAATAATAGAAATGATTAAATAATTATCAATTACATTATAATAACGAAAGTATTAAAGAAATTTATACTATACTTTTGTATAAAGTTTCTTATAATGAATTTAGCCTTGAAATATTTCAGTAATCTATTCACATTTAATTTAATTATAAAAACCCACTTTGTACTAATCAAATTGTTCATCCTATTATTATAAATTTGTTATCATATCTTATTCTTTTTAATCTTTTTAATCTTTTTATTAATAATAATTTACTATTATATTCTATAAATTAGATTATATATAGCTTCTTTATATATCTTTGAAATCAGTATATTCTTTACCATTACATTAATAATAATTATCTTAGAAAGAAATGTGTAATCATTCTTCTATTACTTTATGAAGAACTTCTGATTAGGCTTTAGATTTATTATAATAATAAGAAATGTATATAAATGTTTGGCCTCCTGGAAATCTACTTTATTATCTTGTTTTCTTAATCTCTTCCTTATTATTAATTTAATACACTCATCAATTTTCATTTTAATTATTATAATATCTATCAATTTAATATCAAGCAATATTATCATATATAGAATAATTATCTATAATATAATTGTTGATTATAATAATACAAATAATAATAATTCAGATTCCTTATTATCTACAATAACTTTTAATATAATCTTTAATATAATAACTTCAATTGAAATAGGTATCATATTCGTCTATATAATAGAATTATTTCAAGGTCTTTTTATTAATTGTTAATTGAATAAAATATTCTATATTTCTTATCTTTTTACAAAATCTCCTTTAAAAATAATCAAGTATATTTTCAAATCAATTTTCTTTTTTAATAATTCTTTAAAGAATATATAATTACTTGTTTTTATTATTATATACCTATTGGGAATATATATTCATAGTGACTTTATTATACAATTATTATATCCAATAAATACTCTAATCCTTGTTTGATCTATTAGCTTATTTTAACGAGCATTATTAGGATGAAATACTGAATCAATATAAGAGTAGCACTTCGATCCTTATATTTTGATATATACAATTAATGGTATTATCCCAATTCATACCTTATATAATAATACCTACTTTTTCTTTGCTTATATATTCATATTTTATTATTAATTATTTAGAATCTTCCTGTATTACTGCCAAACTTCAAATTTATTCATCTATGAGCTTATACATATCCTATTTCTAATATATATATTTATTTCATTTGTGTAATCTCAGAATTCAATAGATATAACTAAATCTTTTAGTATTATTTGAATATTTAATTATATTGTCTGAATTGCTTATTTTATTATATTATTCTAATTCAAGGTGTATATATAGATTGATTATTATTATATATTCAATTTGCCTTATTATTTTTATAATATCTTCTCAATCTTTAGAATATTATTAGTTTATATAGCTTTTATCAAGAAATCACTTTCTTATTCTTTACAAATTCTCTATTTCTTAAGTTTAATAATAACATTATTTTTCTTCTTCAAATATATTATTTAAATTTTCCTTATTCAATTATAAATTATTTTTGTAAAGTATTATTTTTTATAAAATAATATTGGGAATGATTTTAAAACATTGAAAAAGATGGGAATTAATGATTGCTTTTTATATTCTATAAGAATTATATTATAGTGTTTCTTTATTTTAATTATTATATATACTTTGTAAGGTTTTAAATCAATAAATAATTTAATGTTTTTTTTAAATATAATTATAAAATATAGCTTACTCAAAACTTTATAGTTTATATATTCAAAGTATTAATATTATAGTTAATATTAATTTAGGCGATTTTGTCTTTAAATTTCTATTTGATTTATTTTACTTTTGTTATATATAATATCTTTTAATTCTATAGGAACTTCTTTTTTTTTTTTTTAATTAAAAGTATAATATCAAGATTATTTTCGATAATATTCGAAATTATATAGATGTCATAAAAGTTGTTTATAGATAATAAGATTTTTCTGTTTTTATAAAAATATATTTTCTTATTATTGAAAGTTTCTTTTATTTTAAGCTTTTTGTAAAATAATCTTGTAAATAATAAGCTTATTCTTAGCTTTAGAATATATAATGTTTTCAGTCTATATAACTTTTTATTTCATTTAACTTTCATTATTTTATATTCTTTTACAATTAATTCTCCTTTTTCAATTTTTATCCTTTTTAATTTCAAAAATAACTTTAAATTAAATAAAAGATGGAATTAATTAGTTATATATAATAAATAATTAATATTTATAATTTATTTTTTAATATTAATATGAAAAAATATATGTACAGATTTATTTGAAAAACGATAAGCTTTATTATTATCTAAAGCTTTAATAATAATATAATTATGATTAAATATAAAATAAGAAGAAAGATTATTTAAAAAGATTTCATAATTTTTCTAATTTGAAGATATTCAACTTTTTAATGAGGAAAACGATTTCTTGAGTGAATTGTTCTTAATATAAACCTGAATATCCTTTTTGTATAAGCAATCATATACTATATAATCAGATTTATTATAATAAAAATATTTCTTAATTTTATTTAAATTATGAGATTTTCAATTGAAACTTTGATAAAAATTACCTTTATATTGTCCACAATCTTGATGTTCTTAGCCCTGTATTATTATAGTTATAATAATATCCCTATTATTATTCAACTTTGTAGCTTTTTTTAAGATAGCTATCTTATTTATAATACAAATCTTCTCAAACTTGATTATAAAATTAAGGTTTTAAGTATTGATTATTTTAATAATAATATTGAATCGTTTTAGAAATTCTTAAATAAAAAAGCCTAAAATAATATCTTTAATTAATAAATTTCTTTATTTTATTTTAATTTTAATAATCTTTTTTCAAATAAAATAAATTTCAAGCTAGCCTTTTTTAGCTGTAATGCCCTCCTTGAGTTTCCATATTATAAATCGAATGAACTTGTTTTACAGTTTTTAAGGGATGATATACTTATACTTCGTTTTCAATTTAGCCTATTTCTTATGAAATTTAGTAATCTTTTTAATAAGTTTGTTATTCATATTATTGATATATTAAATAATAAAAAGATTTATATTAACTTAGACCTTTTCTATTTTATATATTATTTTATCTAATTTAATTGATTCTTTATAAAATGCTCTATATATAATTATATTATTTGTAATAGTATAGTTTTAGTCCTTTTGTATAATATAAAGCTTTATTATTTTAAATTATTATTGTTAATTCTTTCAATTTAGAACTAAAATCTTAGATAATTTATTAGAGTAATTGGTTATAATAATTAATATACTAATATTATTATTATAATTTATAGTATTGTTAACCTTTTCTTGGTATATAGTAATAGATGAATTATAAATTATAATTTTCTTTTTTTATTTTGTTCTCTTTCCTTTTAATATAATTTCAAATTTTTATAGAGTAAATATATTTATTAAGCAAATAAGATTTGTATATATATATATTATTAAATAATTTAGTTAAATATATTTTAGGGATTTTAATTTATAGTAATAAAAAACCTTTACTTTTAACTTTTTGATTATACAATTAAACCTTTACCTTTTGATAATTTTAATAATCTTTACTTCTTAGTTTATATAGATCTCTATTTTCTCTCTACACCTTATGCGCCTCCTTCTTTGTTAATAATTCTAATTTTGATATTAATTCAAGTTATAACCTATTTTAAATATAATTCTTTATAAAATATAATGAGAAATATAAAGTAGAAATTTAAGGTTATTTAGAAATGTATTCTATTAAATATAATAAAATTAATTATAAAAGAAAAAGCACTAATATAAATCAAAGCTCTTACTAATATCAATTAAGGCTAGCTCCTTTTATTCTAGCACCTATGTGAACCATACTTTCAATATAAAGATGAATTGAATATTTGTTTATATAATATATTTTATATCTATAGTATAATAATGAAACTTGTAATTAAAGAACGATTTAAACAAGTAATTTATTTTTATAAAAGAATTCATTTCTTTTAAAAGTTTTACTTAATGTTTTTTTCTTAACCTTCTTTTTTTTAACCTCCTCCTCCTAATCCCTATGTATATACCCCTTTCGTTCATTTTCTTTCTATAATTCAATAATAAATGAGTCTCAAAATGAATTAATTATATTCGTTATTAATAAAACCAGCATTTCTTTTAGAAAAAAAAATATCAATATTATAATGTATATCTCAGAAATTTAAATGGGGATTTATATTGAATTTCTTTTCGTCTGGAGTATTAACTTTGTCACCATAGGCATAGCGAGAATTACTTTAATTTCGGTCATGTGTATTGATTGAAGAGTTTCAAAGTTTCCGGGCATTTTATTCCCAAAAAATAAAGGCAATCAAGTAGAAAACTACTTGCAGCACCCATGTAGCCATCCTTTTGAAAATAGCTTCTCATTGAGTTTGCCACATTTATATCGCAAAAGGCTATAAATTTGAGATCAAAAATATCTATGTAGTGCGATACGATGTCAATAGGTTGTAGAATCTTTCGCATGCTAACTCACATTATCATAATACTACGGCCTGGGAACAGAAATGTAGGTACGGCTTCTACATTAAAGTGTTAATTCAATAGGAATTTAAGTATTTAAATATGATCTACTATCCTAGGTTATCTTATAGTTTCCAAGCCTGAGTGCTTCAATTAAAAAATAATTCGAAAAACAATCGATAGATTGCCTTGAAATGAATGCCTATAACTCTATGCTGAGGGCTAAGGTTTACGACAATCCTCTCGCCCCCTCAAGTGAGCATGTCAAGAGAAAGAAATCTTCATTTCGAACGCATCTCCCAATCAAAAGAAGAACAGGACTTTTAGATCTTCCCACCAGTGAGCCTAATGGTTGTCTTCCTTTTTTTGAGAATCATCTAATATCTTATAGACGTCTTGAGGAAGATCTTAAGAGAATTGTTGGTTACCCAGACACACATAATGCCAGTCATTATTCGAGAGAAGGGTGGTAGGGCTGAGCCCCCGATACTGCGCTATAGATACCAATGGAGCGAGGCACGTCAAGAGGAATATGAACTGCATCGACTTCCCCAGAATATTGAGGATAAACCTATACAAATATTTTGGGCTGCAACTCCTACGAAGCAGGAGGCAAAACTCATTGAAGCCGGGTATAATCAGCTTACAACCATAACCAAAACAGGTCGTAAAATTCAAGGCTTTCTACATGATCGTAAGGGCTATGGTGTTCAAGTCATTCACCGATCAAAAAAAGCTCTCACAGCAATATCAGGAGTTGCAATTTTGCGTTCTTGCAAACGTCTTAATAAACTGGGAGTTGCGGTACTTTATGGTGAAAACTCTTTTCTTTTCGACACACGCGGTTCTCCAAGCTCTACCGGGCCTCAAAGTGTTGTCACTATGGACCAGCTCTCGTATGATTTCGATGAAATTCCAGGTCATCGGCGTAAGGATGGAACCATGCCAACTGCAGAACAGATTTCTCGCTCTATTGCTACGATCTTCCAACAGGATCAAGACAAATTGAAATTCGCTTATAAAGGCCTAGAAAAAAACGAACAGAAATCGAAGTTCATTTACCAGGACCCGTTCACAAGATTCCTGATGGAAATTGGCCGGAAATATGCTTCGAAGCTCACCAAAATTATCATTCAGGGCAAATTTAACTGGATCATCGGTAAATGGCAATACACAAAGTCTATCCCAGTTGGACTTCATGACCTTCTTCCAATCTATACTATCATTCTCAAAGAAGTTTGTGAAAACATTCATACCATAATTTTACACGACGACGACCGGGGCTATCCTCAAATGAAGCAGCTGGATCCGCGAAGTATAGACAGGAACCAGCAAATAAATGAGTCTGTCGATAAACTGGTTCATGCACTTCCATATCTAAAAAAAATACAATTAGGCCAATACGAGTTCGTACCAGCCGGGTGTGGATATGATCCGGGTACTCCTGGTAGTGATATCATAAAGTTGGTGCACCCAGAAGATGAGTGGGGGATGGCTTTGAAATGGGTGAGAATCGTTGAAAAACGTGCCCAGAGCCGCGCATTGGCAGAGTCAGAATGCGAAGACAGAAAGGCGGATAGGGAAAAAACACGAAGTTGATGAGTGCGAGATAGTATGAATTGCCTCTCATTTGTTATACTAGACAATGTCTTTGAATGAGATCATTGGAATGCTTAAGGATTCGGTAGTTATTGGGTATCATCTTTCAACGTCGTAAATTGCGCATTGCTAGCGAGGTTATAATTTTTTTCCCAGTTTGAGATCTGCTTTTTCCGTTCTAATATAGATGATCAATCAATTTCTAAATTCACCCACGTCATCTTTATTTCTCCAAATAATTCTTAGCTCTATTTGTATTTAATCAATGAATGTGAATACATTGCTTTCCCTCAAGACACTTTAATAGAAGCAATCTACTACAGTAACCCGTTATCGGCCTCGGTAGTTCACGAGACTGGATTAAGGACAAGAAGAAACGGCTTTTGGAAGGGGGTGGATCGCGCCGTTTTCCGGTGTTGTAAGAAAGAACAGTCGTGTAAACGCTGAGGCAATTTAGTAAGCGGTCGAGGCTGCATAAAATAGCGTCCAAAGCTGCTGGATTCAGCAGTCCAGACCATCGTACTTAGACATAGGCCTTTTTTTTAATCTCAATATCTTCTTTTTCAAATCCTCAATAACAACTTCTCCGAGCTTGTTAATCGTCCCAGAACTCAAAATATCCAATATACTAATTTCAAGATCAAAAGTCTGTTTCCACCATCGACGCAGCTCGATCGCCATCAACTAATCCAGCCCAGCGTCTATAAGATTGAGTGACGTATCTATATCTTCTTCAGTTATCAGAATGAAACTAGATATCTTCCTTCCAATCTGAACTACCAGAAATTCTTTGCTTGACTTCTCCTTCAGCAGATCCGGCTGATTCTCAACCCGCGCAAGGAATTCTCTTAACTTACCTGATCCGCTCAATGCTTGCGACGCTTTCTCACTGCGAGCATTATGATAAACACCCATCCGTCGGTCGCCCTTCCAAGTCGCACGATTCGACGGATCATCTAGCGGTATCTCCGACAGTAATCCCATAACAACATGACCCTTATTCACCCACGCTCCACCACTCCCATCCTCATCCCTCCCCAGCCCCACCGGGAACGAATTCCAAAGCGCCCTCTCATCCAAAAACCAATGTCCCTGCGCCTTCAGCTTCAGCTTCCTCCTCGCCGCCCCATTTTCTGCCACAAACCCCACCCCCTCAATCAGAGCTGCATTTAACACCGAAGCGGGCAACCCGAGTGTATGTCGATATTGACAGAACGCTTCCATGAATGTATTCGCCGCGTTGTAGTTGCTCTAGCCAGGCTGGTAGTACACCGAGCTCAGCGAGCTTGTTAGCACGAAGAAATCTAATGTCTCATTACCAGGCGCACGATGCAGATTCCACGCGCCGTCTACTTTCGGCGCGAGAACTTCTGCCCATTGCACGTATGTCATGTCGAGAATGGAAGCGTCGCGTAGTTGCATCGCGAGATGGATTACCCCTCTTATAGGTGCAGGGGCAGCAAGGATTGTGCGCTCAATATCGGAGGGGTTTTGGGCGTGGCCGCGGATGCTGGTCGCACGGCAGCCCATGCTGGAGAGCTCGGCGAGGAGGGCTTGCGATTGAGGGGTTAGGCCGCCATTGGGGGAAAGGAAAGAGTAGGTTTTCGGCGCCGTGTTCGGCGAGGTAGATGGAGATGGAGCGACCGCCGTGCCCGCCGGTCATTAGGTAGGTGGCGTGGGGGGAGAAGTGCATGGAGAGTGGAGGATGAAAATGAAGTGGACGTGTCTGGATGGAGGAGGACTCGGGTGTTAGGATAGGAGGCGTGGGGGTTCTTGCATTGACTCCGTCGGTGAGGTTGTTGTGCTTGTTTCTAGAGATGCCATTTTTGGGAAAAATGATGGAAGTCTCCTATACATATGAGATCAGCCTTCGTTTACTTCGCTTAAAGCAGACCGGGATACACTCACCTCCAAGCGAGTATAGCTTACGGGATAACTCTCAATAGACCCCTCAGGAGTATCAAACGACATCGTCTCAGAGCACTGATACCCGCAACAACCATCATGTCCAAGCTCCCCCACCACAAGCCGGTCATCTCTAACCCCGCCTCGAATTTCTCCATCTCTTAACACACCATGCAAATCAAACGGACGATACCTCCCCACTTTAACCACCCTCTCATGCACAACGAACTCCCGATCCGGCGCAAGCCCACCTATATTTTCCTCTCCCTGCCTCACGACTTTCCGGAACACATCCACAACATATTTTTCAAAATTTGGGGTTTCGGTCGCGATTTCAAGCGTGGTGAGCAAGAGGTCGAGCTCGAATCGCGCGGTGCGGATGATTCTGAGGGATTGACTGCCGTGTGGTTCCGGACAGGATACTTGTTTGGGAGGCATGAGCTAGAGGAGATTGGATTTGTTGGTGTTGTTGTTGGTGGCGTTGTGGTTGTTTAGCTTGCGGAGGAAGTTCTGGAAGAGCTCGAAGTTGGTCTCGGTTACGGGGTTAAAGAAAGGAGTTTCAAGGTCGAGGGTGACTATAAATCCGCCTGTTATGGATGACGACGATGGTGCTGCGTCATGGAGGTTGACGAACTGCGAAGTAAAACCCTCTTGCTTCAAACTTTCTAAAACAACTCGGTTGAAACTTGCTTCAGGATCATCACAGATAGTCGATACCTCTCTCAAAGATCCCACATCATCCACTTCCGGTTTGCTTGCAACTATCGTAGCACAATAATGCCACCCTTCACCCGCATCCATCACCACTTCCTCCCCGCCTCCCCACCCTGCCCCCTTCAACTCCTTATCCCACCTCTCCACATCCACCTACGGCTCCCACTCCCTCCCATCTCCCACCCCCAGCCACCACCCCGAAAAATTCCCATAGATTTAATTCGGCGCCCGGAACTTGGTACAAAACTCCGTCATCACGAGCTGTCCTCCGGCGGGAAGTAACATCTGCAGATGTCCAAGCGTCAGCGGCAGACTCGGCGTCGCGTGCACTACATTTCCCGCAAGTATCAAGTCGTGATCTTCCCGCTCAAATCCCTGCATTAGCGGATCCTGCGATACGTCGAGAACTCGAAACTCCATATTCTTGGCGCCGGCGAAGCGCTCCCGCGCTTGTGGGAAGAATCCCGTCGTGTTTGTAGCCAGTTATTTTAGTCAACGCCGTCTATACCGGTCCATATGAGCAAGGAAAGACTTACATCCAACCACTTCTCGATGCCTCCCCCACAATGTCCAACCTCTCTATGATCCCATGATCACTAGTGAACTCTGAATCATTCTTCGGATACTCGCCAGATGACGCCCCCTGTCTAACTAACTCGCCGCATGTGGTGCACGGAAGCGCAGTCCACACGTTCGATATCCCCACATTCCAAACATTCTATGAGAACTACAATAATCTTACTTCGAATTTTGCACAGCAGCTGAGTGGAACACTCTATTTCATTGAATTCTTCACCAAGCAGGCGGTAGAAGCTATCCCTGTAAGTGCAACAGCGTATCCATGGCGCAAAATCACTGCACATCTGTAAGGAACGCCTCCTCCATTAGTTTTGTTAAACAAAAACCTCACACATATCCTCAATTCTGGACTATTTAATTTCGCATACACCGACATACCCGGCGGCGCGTTGGATTCACAGGTTAATGCATTTGCAAGAATGGCAAGGAAAATTTGACGCGTACGAGTAGTTTTGATCAGCGTCAAATCTACGTCTCGTATGGACATGGAGATGAAGATCTAAAGACGCTTTACTCCTCCACGCCGCTCATTTCTCGCGCCACAAGTCATCACCACTTTCAGTTCTCGTCCCTCGTCAGAAGTCTCTCATTCCTTCATCTTGGGCGGTCATCTTCGGGTTCACGCACCTCTGAAGAGCAGAAATTGAGTGCCGTCTATGATGTGGAACGCAACTTGGCGTCGAACAAACCTCTCACCGAGACTTCTCACAAAGCTGAGATGGTTCATATACAGACACGGTCGGTGGAGAGAGTTTGATGGGTATATATTATGGATAGATATATACTATGAAGGTAGGAGTTATACTGTTGTACAGATAGCTTATATCAGTATACAAGTCTGATCCCAAGTATTCATAATTCGATATTTATTCCTCGGCTTTTTAAACTACAAATAGTCAATATGACTTCTGAAGAGGAAAACATAATGCTATGAACAGCGATAAATATAAAGCTTTTATATCATATTAACCTGAAATCATATACTTTACTACTTTATCAATTAAGGTCATAATGTAAAAGAATAGAAGATGACAGGGTTTTAGAATAAGCCTTTATAAATAGCATAGAAATATCACTCGAAAAATAATTTTATTAATAAAGAAGAAAGAAGAAAGCTCTGAAAAGCTCTCACATAACACATAGAGGGTATAATAAGATAAATAGGAATTCATTATCTCTTTCTAAACTATATAATAAAGAACCATAAATACTAGCTATAGAAAATGTCACGTGATCTGTACGTGTTTTTCCGCGTATCCTCTAGACCGCCAGCTACGGCCGGGTTCGCTTATAATGTCTTATCAGCCAATCAAAGTGTTATAATCTAAAAGGTCTTAATATTATAAACTGTATTTCTTTTGAAGGTGAAATATAATAGTATTTAAAACCTTTAAGAAATCTTTTTATATAGATAAAATTTCTAAATCTATAATAAGCCTTCTAATTGTTATTATTTTAATAGTCTCTAATAAAAAATTCAAGCTAAATGATTTTTATATTCAATATAATATATGAAGTTATTAATATTCTTACTCATGTACGGACTACATTTCCTAGTCGTAACTAACGATCCAGAGGATAATAACCTATTAGAATAAAAAAAGAAATTTATTACTAGTATACTACTCAGTATATTATATATAATTTTCAATAAATATACTTCTAATTATATTTCTTTATATAAGAAATTAATTACTTTCCTCTTTTAATATCATTATCAAATGAATCTAATATAACTTATTATTGTAATATAGTTAATAATAGTTATGTGTAAATAAGAATGTTAATTAAAAGTTATTTTTTCTACGCTTTAATGTTTTTCGCGTAAACTTTATATATAGTACTATAGACTAGTAAATAACCGAGAGTTCCAAGTAAATCTATAACTTGCTCATACGACATTAATAAGTAAAACCATTTTGAACTGACTATAATATGTTTGTACAAAGCGCTAGTTCTATTATAGTATTAGTTATGACCTCCGTACTAGCATCGTTGAAATTAGGTAATGACCTCATATTCACTATCACGCCTAAACTAACGGGGTACTCTAGTGTACTCGTACAGCTACCTCACTCTTTATGTACCTAGTATCTTGCATGCAGTTCTATAAAACTCCAATAATAAACAATCCATAAAGAGACTTATCCCACCTATTCTGCTCCCTTTACACTACTTCTAGCTTATCAGGCTATTTAAATATCCAACTACCTAAAACCCAAAAATTTCATAAACTTACTGATTCTTTGGATTGCCTGTTTAGTCATCATCAAAATCAATTTGACGAGCCAAGATCAGACACTAGATGTTGATTCAGATTCGAAGGCTTCGACAGCAGATGCTATAATGGCCCAAATCAGTATCAAACCCTCCGAGCCAAATGTTTGTGCTCTCCTCAACAAAATTCCTAGAGGTAAGTTGCCAATCTTTTCATCTTGACTTCAGGAACTAATAAGACAACAGAGAATCGCGATGAAATCTGGCGACTCATCTTTGTGAGACCGGTTGCGATCGTCCCAAGGATTCGCAAACGAGAGTACCTATTTGCAACAGGGAGCGAAGCCGAAGGTCACAAGCATTGTAGGTATCAACGAAAATACAGTTACAGCTGGGTCCAGGCGCAGGCGCCAGCTCCAGAGACCTATTTTGGTGGTAACACCATCAGTCGAGAGATCGCATGGACTACGAACCCTACCCGCGAGCAGCTCAAACTTATTCAAAGTGGAGGCGAAGAATTCACGATCAATGATTCCCCGGAGTCTGGTCAACAGATTAAGTGCGCTGTGCATCATCGAGATGGATATGGTCCTCAAGTCATAAACAAGGCCGGTTTTGAATTACACCCGTTTGGCCGTTGTGTCAGTATTATGCGAGTGTGCAAACAGATCGAGCAAGAGTGCACTGTAATCCTTTACAGGGAGAACAAATATGAGTTTGATATAGCGGACTGTCATAGGATGCACCAGCTAAAGACCCCATGGAATGTCCCCGGATTTCCTCTATTTGAGGAATCACCCAGTAAGGCCACGATTAGTCTCGCTGTTGAGAAACTTTTCGACTTGGAATGCTATCAGCCAGCGTTCATTGCAAAAGATCCGTTCGTTCGTTTTATGGCGTACATTGGACGCAAGAATGCTTCAATATTGAGAGATATTAGGTTTGACGGAGTATTCACACTTACTCTTGGGACACGTGGCGAAAGAAACTCGGCGCTCGGGTTTGGAGCAATTCTGCCTATGTATACGCTCATCATAGCGGAGGTGTGTCCCAAAATACGCAAGCTCACCTTGCATCAGTGCCCTTTCTTCTTTGACTCCCCCAACAGAAGTGCCGAAAAGGAGAAAGAGGTGGGGTATGACTACGGTATGATGTATAATATTGTAGGTGAAGTGGTTCTCGGTCTACCAAATCTCCAGCAACTTCAACTGGGCGCTTACTACCAACCTCCAAATGCTGGTCCATCTGAGTGGTTTGTAGATCATACATACGGGTGGGGAAAGTCGATCCAATGGATGAAGTTTGTCGACGAGCGATGTTCCAACCAGCTATATACATCATGTCTTACAATACCAAGCAGTTTGACGAATAATAATGTCGGGCAAGCTCATGTTCCAATCCGGCGTGGTAATTATAGTCGCTACAAAGATTCGCTAGAACACGAACGTCCAGGTAGTTACGGTACCAGCACTTGCACCTGGACTGTCACCCTTTGCCCATCTCAAGCAAATCCAGGCTCTACTGGAAATTCGCCAAGGGATCATGATCATCGAAAAGATCAATATGGATTACTGCCAGAGAAGTCTGAACATGTTTGGAAATGTTCGGATGCACATGGTGGTATAAGGCGTGATCGCGGGCGAATCTTGAACATCTCGACAAAGGTAGATCGGGTAAGTGCACCCCGTACCTGGGTCCCTGGTCAACGCGTGAAGATATGGTGGCACTAATCCTAAGAGTATGTTTCATGTGTGTCTGTTAGCGATTGGCATTCCTAGAGCACTGGTGAATTGCTACTGGGTGCATGGATTGGCAGATTCAACGTTTGTAATACATCCCACGACCAATTGATAAGTGTCAAAATCTATCATCGCATTATGGTATCAGTGGTGAATTCTCAAATACAAAGAATATCGCGAAGTTCAATTCTCGCAACGTTCCTTTAATCAATTCACCCGCCAGTGTAAAATTTGTTTCTGGTTGCAACATGGGTGCGGGGTAAGAAATGTCTCTCAGGTTTAGAGGGAGTGGCAGATTAACTGTAAGTTCCAGCACCTTGCTTGATCTTTGCTGGAGCTATCATGAAATGAAGCAAGACTATAGCTGTTTATCGATATTTCATTGATTTGTTACAATTGCTTTCGGATGTGCATAACGTGATCGACACAAATGTTTGTCTTCGCGAGAATAAGAGAGAGTCCCATAGTTCTACTTGATGTGGAAACTAATCCGTGCCCAAAAATTCCCCATGCACCGTCTTTGATTTATTACTGAGCTGCGATCATATTTCACCACATTCTCCCACATCCGACTATCCATTAGAATCTTCCGGATACAAGTTTCCTTCAAAAGCCTCCGAGGCAACATGCGAAGTAGCGGTATTTCCTAATGTTTTATATAGTACCTACTTGCCAAGGCACTTACTTGACAAGGTACATCCTCACAAATTATGCTTCGCCTTCCCAATCAAATGCTTGTTGACCGGTGTCAATGGTTCCTTTCCTTTCAACACTGCATCAATGTTTTTCATTGCTAATTCCTCAAATCCAATGTGGCTGTAGAAGTGTCAGTAATTTGTGAAACCATCCAAGTAAATAAACATACGTTTCAAGTGTCCCACCAGCATTATGACTAGTAAGTGTGACATTCCTCAAAGCCTTTAACCTGTCGTTTACTCTAGGCTCATGCTCATGAACATCCAGTCCTACACCCACCAATTTTCCTGACTCAACAGCTTCGGCCAATGCTTGCTCATCCACTAAGATACCTCTGGCAATGTTCACAAATCTACTTTTTTCTTTGAACTTGCTCAACCTCTGTCGATCAAGGAATTTTCTTCCATCTGGAGAAGCAGGTGTAGCAAGAACTACGCAATCGCTAAGGGCTAACATATCATCTAATTCAGTGAAGAATTGTGCTTCAATGGCAGCTTCCTGGGATGGAGTCTTTCGAACGATGTCGTAGTACAGGATTTTCATTCCGAATGCTAGAAGAGCTTTCCGAGCGATGTTATAGCCAATGTTTCCCAAACCAACAATACCAAGGGTATGGCCGCGAGGATTGTGGGACATAGCTGCGGCATTGGTGTGGCAATCTTGGAACGAAGCTGCACCAGAACGAGCAGCTTGGGTGCACCTGTTTGTATCAGCACTCGTAATGTATAGTCCCAAGCAAGATTGGAAAATCCACCAAGTGAGGTTTCTGAACGTAGCTAAGATCAAGAAAATGGCGAAATCTGCTACAGATTCAGTAGTAGCTGTGGCGCTGCACAAATTTGTTAATCACATATGCGGAAAATACAAAAGTCACTCAAACCTGTTGCAATAGACAATACCTATCAGACTCATATGTTAGCGAGATGAAGTGAACATTTATCACATATAATCCATACCTCGGTCGGCCAAAAGGTCTACATCGGCCCAATCAAAACCAGCTCCGGCAGATGCAAATATTCGGCACGATTCAGGAATTAAGGGGATGAGCTCTGAATCCCATCTTCCCATTTCACCACCAGTATTCCAGAACGGTCTGAATATTGCGGAAAAGTTGCCCCACCTGGTATCTTTCAAGGCCTTCATGAATTCATCACGTTGACGCTCTTCCGTTGAAGGTCGTATGATTGTAAAATCCTTAGAAAATTGTTCATATAAATCAAGGTTCCATTTGACTGGGTCGCCAATCTGCAGAACTATCGATTTTGGTTCGACGGTAGCCATGGTAAAGATTGGTAAGAATACAATTCAGGACTTAGAGTGAAGAGAAAAGAAGGAACAGCAAGCTGTCAAGAAAGCAAAGATATGAATCAAATATAAGATCCTCGCTACTAGCTGAAGGACTTATGGTAACTTGGCAGGATACCTTTGGGTGTGGGCGATAACAATCCTGACACTGCATGTTCACTGCATATGCAGTTATCCATGTCGGAGATGCTTCTGCCCAGCTATGTGTAAACAACTACCCACCATTCATTCCCTTTCCCAACACCAATCATGAAGTGGTGGAAGTTCAAAAGCAGTCAAAGTTTTCTTGATTGTTATCGATGCTGGCACGCACCTGAGGTAAATACTTGGGGGCGAGTGGTAGATAAGACTGGTTGGCTCGGTTGGATGGTTGGATGGTGGCACGAAGTCCAGACAAAATAGAAGAAGTTAATGCCTCAACAATAAGGGTTCAAAGGCAACTCTGGCTTCGGAGCCGCGCAAACCGGAGCGGGACGGATGGAAACATGAGTCCGGGGAGACGACGACATGTATAAATTGTGACATCTCATCTGTCATCTAACGGATAACTAACCCCTTCTCACTAATATTATATGAAAATTTCACACCACATTAATCATGGCGTCTGCAAACAAACCTGGACTTCCAACCTTCCATCATCTCAATGTAAGTGGGTCGGACAATTATCCCATCGGTCCCAACCTCTAAGGTTTAACCAACATCACCCCCACCAAATGCACCCACACATGCTGACACCATCCGTCTATGTAGGACTCTCAATCCCAACGAATTCTTTGGTTTCTCGAAGAACTAGGAATCGAATATAACCTCGTATGCCACACACGCGTTGAAGGTCGTGCACCACCCGAGCTCAAAAATGTTCATTTCATGGGAAAGGCCCCGGTTCTTGTTACATCCGACAATGTGCCCATCGCAGAAAGTAGTACAATCCTCGGATACCTGATAGATACCTACGATAAAGAGGGAAGATTTGCAGCACAGGATAAGATTCGCGATGAGAGTTTGTCGTCCTTCGCTGGGTCGACCATTGGGACTATCGGAATGATTGAGTTGATATTTGATATCGTGGCAACAAAATCTCCGTGGCCAGTATCCATATTACTCGGTGGTGTCAAGTCAAACGTACATAAGAGTTTCACCGGGCCGGAATATGCAACTCAATTCCAATATCTGGAGAAGGAACTGACAGATGACTGGTTCAATGGAAAGAATTTGGGAAGGTCCGATGTAATGCTGAGTTGGCCCATGGATATCTTGGCTGCGAAGAAGTATGTGGACTTCGAGAAGTACCCCAAGATTTTCCAGTGGAGGAAGAGGATACAAGAAAGAGATGCCTGGAGAAGGGCAATGCAAAAGGGTAATGGGTATGATTTGGCGAAGATGTAAAGGGGAACGTCTGTTGTTTTCGATGGAATTGTCATGTAAGAGCAGCGAGTAATTCTTTCTGATGGACAATTGTCACATATTAATGTTGCATCGATGTTAGTACGTCTGATGCTTATGATCGCATTTCCGCTTTCCTTTGTAAACACGTCTATGTCCCAGGAATACCGTGATTTATGCCCATGCATTAGGTGTTGCATGGGATGGAATTGAAGTTGAGACTGGTTGAGTTAAGTGACTAAGTGACGATACAAGCAAGTGATTCTCTAGGAACCCTTCGGAATTACTATGACGTTTGCCCGTATTCATCAAGGGGGTTTAGATCCTCTCATCGGATTCCATTCACGCTGGAAGGAAGACGTTGTGAAGCGAGTATCTCTCCAGATTGATCTAGATATCAACGTTCAATTATTTTCAAAAGTTACGCCTATTTAATTGAACGAACAAGTCCCAGACAATCTATCGACATGTTTGCGTCATTTCTTCGTCTCAAATTTTCCTTTTGTGTAGGGAGTAGTGTACTATTATCAATAGACGGTTTGCAAGCAATTGAAATCTCTCTGAGTATCAAGTGGAAACAACATGGTCGTCTGCCCTCGATCACAATTTGTATGCATTACCGGTCGTACAAGTCATGGAGTATGTCAAATCAGATGATAGTCCACGCAAAAACTCACATTGGCACATGTGATAGAATTCGGGTTATCAAAAGCTCCGCTCCACACATTTATTATGACTTCGGTGTAGCACAATCGCTGGCAGAATCCTCAAGTCCGCCATTCAGTGTCTAATGCCCATTAAAGTGGAACAATTCCACCTGGAGACAGAACTTGTGCCCTCTTCGCAGTAATTACATGGTTCCCTAAAATACCTGCTCGGAAGCCTGCTTCGCAATAACTAAAGTAACCCTAGAACAAAGATTAATAATGCTTGACTTCTCGCCACGAATATTTAACCACTTACAATCCACCTTCTTTGGAAAGTTTCGAGATCTAACAGCGTCATGTCTCCTCTTCCTTTCATGTACAACAGCTTAGTTTTGTCCCAGTTCCGAGTAAAGTTTTCCCTCCACAAGCGCAAAGTTCGCACATAATGAGGACCTATACTTTGCACGCTCTCAGGCTCTAGAGAACCAGTAGATCCCGCTTCAAGATGTTCAATAATCTCTCTGACGGTAGGGAGATATCCTCCTGGGAAGATGTAGCGCTCCATGAAAGTGTCAATTTTGGATCGAGTTTGGTGGAGGCCCTGTTGGATAATTGATCACCATACTGATTTTGAACAATGAAAATATAACTTTTGAGGAATTTCACCACCATAGCCAACTCAAGTGGCTTCGACTGGACCGGTCAAAGGTTGTGTGAACTGACCTGATTCGTTTCGGTTATGCTTTGTATTACCATGATTTCATTTTCTTTGTTCAACGATTCGCTAATCGCTCTGAAATAGGTCTCCATGTACTCCTCCCCAACATATTCCACCATTTCGACACTGATAATTCTATCAAACCCTGCAGGAATAGGCTTAGGAGTCTGCCTATAATCGCAAAGCAATATCTCAATTCGATCTGTTAATCCCGCCTCTTCAACCCTTTTCTCGCCCAGAGTGTTTTGCTCAATTGACAGAGTTGTCACTGTGACTCTACATCCACAGTTTTCTTTACAGCTTGGATAGCTAGATATGCCCATCCACCTCCAATTTCGAGGATGTGATGTTCTGGCTTCATATCCGCTTTATCAATAATATTATGTACTTTTCGTTTTTGTGCTTCCTCGAGAGTTTCTTCTTTACCAGTGGTATCCCATATTGGACATGAGTAACTCATGTCTGGTGATAAAAAAGAAGAGAAAAGTGCGTTCGAGGTATCATAGTGGGATGATGCGTTCTGGAAAGTGCGTCGAGTATCATTTGAGGGTCAGAAAGAATTTTTGAATACGAGGAATTATCTGCAGAAAGATATTACCAGTTTCGAAAAGTGCATAGTTTTGTATTTATATCTATAATTTTCTGTTGTGAGCCCAGACAATTTTAGCTCGATGGGGTTGGAGTAAGAAGTCCACATACGGAAACAAGAGCAACAAGATCATCACACTCCAATTCTCCCACCATAAATGCCTCAGAAAACCCCTTGGGAATCTGATTAGCATCTGCCACAAAAATTAAATTATTTTCAATGGGGCTTACCAAATCAATACTGATAGACATTCGAGTCCAAACGTTAGGACTATTAATAATGGCTGAGCACTGGGGCTCGCTTGGATCGATCGACTCCGATGATGTGTTACGAAAAAAGTCTTGGTTTCGTCTCATTTTGATCTTTCATCATGATATATAGTCTTCCATACTTAATGCTGGAGAGTTTTTAGAAGATGAACGAACGGTTGAATGACGAGAAGTGGGAAAGAATTAAATTTTCCATTATTATTGTTATTTTGAATCAGTTTGTATAATCGAGTTGCAAAAAAGATTATTAGTGCGGTACAGAGTGAGAGGGAATCAGACGATTTGAATGTGGTTGATGTCTAGGATACGCAAATTCATTCCTGTACCTATAGACTGCGCAACGAGTATATGCAGAGTCGAATGTTGGCCTTGCAGACAATCTGCAGGTTACTACTTACGGAGTAGATTGTTGAAAAGTTCAACCAAAAAAATCTACAGGGAATCCTAGAGCCTATTATTGCTCTAAGCTTAGATTTATGACAGATTTATACTAGATTCATACAAATTTCATATTACAAAGCAGATATCTTATAGATAATCTGTAAAATAGGTAGGAGCTTCAATAGAGCACCTGCAGATCGCCTAAATTTTCAGCTTATGTTTGCGCAGCCTACGTATTTAAAACAATACTTAGATCTGGCGGAAATGGTAAGTATTGGGTCCTGGGTCATGTACTCGGTGTTCTGGATTTACTATGTTCTGGATTTACTAAATCCTCTCTCCAAAATCGTGCTTATTCGTCATTTCGGAATTTCCATATCAACTCAAATGACACAATCTGAACAAAGATATATACTCGAATTCCTGTATAGAATTCAAATTATATATCTTCAATATCCGGGGTCAGATAGATAGCTTTTGATGTTTATGATTTGATATACACCTGCTAGATCTTGGTCAGTATTCAATCAAATTGACAGCGGATAAGTATGTCAAACACTTGACTTGGCAGCTGGATTTACTTAGCTCACGGTCTCTTGTTACGGTCGATCCTTTAAATAATATTTTAACTAGTACTGCACGTCAACACAGAGCACGGGGCGGGACATTAGTGTATGCCCGTCGCGGTATGCTCCTGAAAGAAGAGAAAGCGGCTCAAAATGCATGCAGGGAAACGCTAAAGAGAGTCTTGGATTCAAGGGCTTGGAACTGCGGGATATAATGTGACGATTAACGTTATCATTGCAAATTTGAAAATTGGGAGATCATACATATGCATTCCCGCTTCATAAACAGTAACCGAGCAGGCCAACGATCTTGCTCATCAACTTGGGGTCGAATTAACCGAGCAAGGAGATGTTAAGGTCACAACTCCTTTTAACGAGACAAATGTAAGAGGGGCGTTTGCAACTGGAGATTGCGCATCAATGTTGAAGAATGTTGTAGGTGCTATGTATAGCGAGATTTATACTGGTGTTGATTTTGGGTCTCGGATTCCAGGGGAATATTAGACTTTTCAAATGACTCGGAATCGCTGTCCGGCTTCTGAATCTCTACTTTTACCCCCATATGCAGTTTGACTCTATTAGCAATCTTCCAGGCTAGAACTAAATCCCCGAAAACAACTTATTTGCTTTTTGTATCACAATGCATAATACAAGTTCCTCATTTAAACATTCCCTCGCCTTGATAGCAATGTAGATATAGTCTCTCTACATCGATATAATACCTTCAGCTACCAGCATTCTCCTCATGATTTAAGCGAGTTCCAATTAGGTAAGTGGGTGATATCATAGCTTTTCATGATTTGAATTCTTGCAACCGATGTTAGAGATAAATATAAAAGTTGTGATTAGTTTATAGCAAATATAAACAATCTAAACTCTCAGTATCAATGATTCTTCGCCCCTTCCACACCTACAACAACGATTCCTTCACTGATTCGCTTTGCTCAAAGTAAATAAGTATTATTATTCGCTTATACCAGTCATTAAGTACTCCTCGATAATATTGTCTACAAGGCCTTACAATTTATTCACATCTACTTCCTCAAGACCAATCCATTCCCAGAATAGCAAGCAGAAGCTACGTCGTTGAATCAGAAACGTAACAGTGATGTGGGGGAAATTGAACGAAGATTGACATTATTTGATTAAGCAACTGATATGACAACACGCGACATATGACTACCAGACAATACTGCCGATCGAACATCAAAGACAATCATTCCCAACTCACAGTTTCTACAAATGTGATTTTCTAAATCAATCACAGATTGATGTGCCAGATTTATATGATCTGATGATTTTATATGTCTAGAATGATGAATTTCTTTGTACCCACAACACGCGCCTGGAAATAATCTTAAAATCTTCATCTGACTGTCGCTCTCACGCTTTGAACTCGTGTTTCTTCCCTCGAAAAAATAATCATTATCCACCATCCACCATCCATAATTTTTCATTCACTATATTTTCGAAATCCGCAAATCCCACATACTGCTGACTCCTTAATGGCAGCTAATCAAAATCCTACCATAGAGAATTTTTCAATCCTTTCACTTTGTAATCTGGCCTGAAACTATTACGCATCAAGGCCTTTTAAAGAGCACCCAGGTATCGAGCTTCTGGGTTTGTTACTCGGTGTAGTAGATTGACAAAAGAAAGACGTGGATAATTTTATGAGGTTAGGAAAGGAATATGTAGAATCAGTTGTGAAAGGTCATGTCAGATAAAAACTTGTATACCTTTGTTGTCAAAAATCAATAACCTACCATCGATTACAAGAACGTTGTCGAAATTAGACGAGACGAGATATACAAATGATAACGCTAAAGCGAGAACCCAGATAATTAAAAAACACCCTCTTCAGATATTGTCAGCAAGCTGATCCGTGATAAATAAATCTTAGAGTGTACAACAACATCATATAATTTAATTTCTCCAGTCATGCCTATATGCTTACTACCTAGCCATTGGATTAAAGATGAAGTGTTTATAAACTAAGGAATCGATAATTTCTCAGTCAATTGTCAAATTTCTCTAGAGTAAATCTAACAATGCATCGCAAGCTCCATCTCAGTGCCATATTATTACTTTTCTCTTTCATTTACTTCCCCACCCCCTCCATCCGCGGAACTCTCGAAGAGAATATACGAAGGGTAAATCTCTCCGATTCTATTATCCTTGTAGATCTTGACCTATTGTTTTTTTTTTTCTCCCTATGTATATATAAGCTCCCAGCTTAACATTCTCAATATGACCAATCGAGGAAGTCAACAATCGGGTATCGAACCTAGACAAAGAGAAGAGTTGCGGAAATGGAAAGTTATGAATATTAATGTTTTCCTCAATCCGTAGTAGGGAACTTTATATTCAGACTTCTCAACTCATATTCTGTAGATAGCAGAGTAAATATTTGACGAGTTCCGGATATTTTGTTGTCTATTCAAGTACAGGACGATAATTGTTGTTACAATTGTTACAACCTCTTTGAACAACCTACCACTCATCTAAGTAGCTCATCTAAGTAGCTTTTTTCCTGTATCTTTTGAGTTTATCCTTAATAAATCGTTTGAGCTGAAAGGGGTAGGTGGGAGTAGAGACTGTGTGGAAGGAGCCCTAATGCTTCACCTGATGAGCCATCTCGCAACATTTTATGCCTTTATATTTTATCTCTGATCTCTGGTATAGATGACTTCTTTATACCTAACAATTGGAAATCTCATCCATAAAGTCCAGGAAGATCTATTGTATGGGGAGGGAGGATTGAGTGGATGCTGGGAGATCTCAGGTTTACACTCTTGATTCGCACATATTTTGGTATTTTACTTCTCAACCTGTTCTCTTCACTGTCTCATCACTCTCCCTCCCATCCAACTCCGCTCCCGATCTAGATCCACACATAATCTTCTCATGCCCTGCCCCCTATGACCCTCATAATATCCTCTCTAGACTCTCTATAAACCCCTGTACCTACTCCCCTTACAGCCCCAAATTTAGATACAGTAGATAACCATGATGCCGAGGAGCTGCGCGTCACAACCAACTCATGTATCGAATTCGTTTTCATGACCTCTAGAATTATAATCTTGCTTCAATTTCAGATTCAAAAGTTTAGACGAATCGAGAAAGAGAAGAATGAAGATGAGGAGCAAGAGGATTATTGCTATCGTCTTGTTCCTCATATCAAACTCTTGTGGCTGTTGATTCATCGTATTTATCATCACCGAACTTCATTCATCGTCAATGATTGATTAGTTTCCATCAAGATTCGCGACAGCAGATAAACACTCACACATTCTCCCCCTCCATATTTCACCACAGAGTACCGGTACCTCCAAACTCCACTCACCTTCCAATAGAAAACTGCAATGAGAGATCTTGCCTTCAAGCCGTATTTTTTCGAAGATTTTTATTATCTTACCTTTCCAGAATTGATGATGTTGAAGATATTCATACCTTTATACCCTTACTCCAGTATCTATGAAGCTGGGTAGATTGGCATAAAAGTAAAGAAAATCCAGGTGAATAGAGTAGAACGCGCGGGGGGTATGAGTATATCATGGATATGTACTCATCTTTCTCTTTTCCATCTATTCTCACACTTTCAAGGTTACCTTACCCTGTTTACCATCACCCCCACTCACCCCTCGCTACCCCTCGCTACCCCTCCCACATTCCCTGCGATCACACCTCTCATCTCACCTCATCTTACCTCTCACCAACCCTCGTCCTTTAAACCCATCGCCGTCCACTCTATAGATCCCCGTCATACCACCACCCCCACCAGTAGTCATATCCAACAGCGAACCAAGGAATCGCTCTCAAATACATTCTCATTCTCATTCTCATTCTCATCAAGTTCTGACTTACAACTCGTCAGGGCGTGAGCCGTGAGGCACATAGCACAAGGTATTGAGGGGATAACCATTTACTGCAACGATTTTGATCAATGACATTACTAACATCCGTAAATAAACGATGGTAGGTTAACAGTGTAACATATCACCCAACTTATCGACGATAATTGTGACGAGCTAAAAACACCTTTCCTTTCCATCTCTCTATCTTCTGTCAAAATTCAATTCGATTCAAGATATTCAAATCCTAGTTTTGTGCATCTAACTTAGTAAAGATTCACAAAAT